GACCCTTCTTCTGAAGAAGGGTCCAGACCCGAAACGTCAGCTTTCCTGCTCCTCTGATGCTGCTTGGCCTGCTGTGTTCATTCAGCTCTACACCTTGTTATCTTGTATTGAACTGTTCTGTCAGGTCTCTGGACTCGAAACTTCAACTCTGTTTTTCTCTCTATAGCTGCTGCCAGACCTGCTGAATTTCTCTCGCACGTTCTGTTCTTGTTTCAAATAACTGCTTCACAATGGAGATATTCTCTCATCAACATTTCTCTATCTTAAATTACAGAGTTAATGACACCCAGCCAGGCCACCACTGTTCAGGGGCTGGGGTAGGGGAATTCCTCCACAGATTAGCCCACTTACATTGCTTACGTTACATTACATCACCTCAGCCTGTTGCTGGGTGCCAGACTTCAAGTACTTAACCATGAAAATCCCATCAGTCCTCCTTTACTTGGCCTTAGCAAGGTTTTTAAGAGTTTAACTGCAACAAGGAGACCAAAATTTCAGCCTTCCATGTTCTGTTTCATAACTAAGTGTAATTCAACTATTTTGTGTTCCCTCCTTCCAGCTAGAGTCGAGACAACATGTAACACATTGGCGCTTCAACACTTCGGTAGTTTCCCACTTTTGCTCAGTGAGATTCAGGTATGTAACGCTAACCTGGGCCCGTTTTAAAGCTGGGATAACTGTTTACCTGTATTAACTCAGCCAATTCATTGCTTGATATGTCCAAGATTTGGGTTTTAGATGTTTGGAAAGTTTGTTTAGGCAATCAAGATTTCTGCTGGTCCTTGGTCAGTAAAATTTGAAGAATGCTTGGGTCATGGTCAGCTGGTTCTGAAGTTCATGGCTCACAATTATTACCTGGGTTAGCTAGTTAGCTGGACTCATGGGATGTTTGGCTGGATTATTAAGAGAGTGGTCAAGCACTAACTTGCCTCCTAGTTAATTCATTCTCCCTTCCACCATACAACTCTTTCCAACGTGTCGAATTCAGAAAAAGTGCAATTGGAAGTAAATGAGGAGGAAGTTCATGCAGGGTGTATGAAGATTGATTGTTCTGCTACCAGAAGTTTTCTGTTTTTTGGCATGAGTTCAAACCTAGCCATCTCCTAGATTTGTAATTGAAAATGGTAACAGTAGATCCGGTGCACTTTTATACACATCAAAACATGCTCCCCCTTTTGGTGGATGGATGAACATAACTCTTTCCAAGGACAAGCCTTGATGTTATAGTGTTGATACAATCTCAGCCATTTAATGTTTTAACAAAGATCTATTGCTCGGGTAAAAACATGCATAAAAACCAGTCAGATCAGCAAACCAACCAACAACTCCAATTTCAGCCATGTTTCCAGGGCACAGCATGGACAGTTCAGTGAGGCATTGAGCTACTTCGGCAAAACTTCCCAAATTTGTAGCATGGTAAAGCCTAGCTTAGCACAGTCACATTCCCAACACAATAAACAATTAAGAATTCAGGTCCATTATCACCAAGCATCAACTGCTTTGCCCTTTCCCGTCCGATTAGATGACTGAGATTAGCCAAATTGAAATCGCAAAATAGCTATTGGCTACTGGTAGATGTTGGGTGCTATTGAGTTGTTGCTTGCCCTGTTTGCATTTTTCAACCACGTAGGTTTCATGTTTATTTTCTTTCACAGATTAAAATTGCTGAAGTCTGCCACAAAATGGAAAGGAAAGCAGAGGAAATGCTCAAGACCAACTTTAAGTTGGAGGCAATGGTTTATGCCCCAGATGAAATGTACAGCTACAAACTAATGGAATTCCAATCTCGAGGCCAGCAAAAGGGGAGTAACTCAATGATAAATTCAAACCTTGATCCCCAGGCAATGGTTATTCATTTACATGCCTATTATCAGGTGAGATGGTACTCAAAACATTATATGCATTGACTCGGTTCTGAAAGAATTGTCAAGGATTTGAAATTATAAATTAAAGGTTTAGGGTGGGCAGACCATTTCAAATACCTCAGGTTACCCTGCCCCCCCCAACCAAGCCTCTGCTCTATATGTGGGACCCTGACCATGGTGTTGTTGGACTATGAGGCCTATGGTTACTGGATCCAATTCCACATTTGTCCCCATATACAGCACATTGAAAGGGAAAGACTTGCATTTCGATGGCACTTGCCATCACCTGTCTGAGAATGCTTTACAGCCAATGAAGTACAGCAACGACAGCACTTCAGATGGTAACACATGGAAACAAGTCTGACCAATTGTGCACCCAGCAAGGTCCCCACACACAGCTAGAAAAATATCAAACACAAGAAGTAGGAGAAAGATTGACCAGACGATTTGTTGAGCCTGCTCTGCCATTCAGTACAATAATGGTTGAATCCTAAAGTTGATCTTCAAGGCCACTTCGTTGCCCTCCCCACATATCCCTTGCTTCCCTGAGAGATGAAAAATCTGTTGATCGCAGCCTTAAAGGTCTTCAACAATGGAGCATCCTCGATTCTCTCAGCCAGACAATTCCAAAGGATCACAACCATTTAAGTGAATTGATCATTCCTCATCTCATCTGAAGTGATTAGTCTCTTGCCCTGAGACTGTTACCCCATCTTTTAAATTCCCTGCCCAGTAGAAACAATCTTTCAACATATGTCCTATCAGGACCCTTCAGAATCTTGCATCTTTCAATGAGATCATTTCTCAGTTCCTCTAGAAATCGCATTGAGGTAGTCTGAAAACTTTAATTCAGTTTGCTTTTAAATCAACTAACTAAGAGCGTATAAAAATGGCTGTAATTCCAGTAAACTTAAAAAAAAACACTCCCTTACCTGCTTATTTTAGGCAAGGGGACCTGTAATCCTAATGAGATATAACCATTATCTGACCGCAGCCCACATCAATGTAGATGACACTTCCCCATGAAGTGGCTTCATTAGCCGTTTTTGTGTTACCTGTTCACATGGGCTACAACAGTTTCAAAAAGGCAGCTTCTACACTCCAAAAGATAGAGGCCCATTTACTCAACCTCTCATGACAGGAAACTGCCTGATACAATATAGTTGTAGTGAGGTCAGATACCAACTGCCCGATATGATGGAGATAAGCAAAAAACAGCAGCCCTGGGCAACATGGTGGTTGAGTGGTTAGCACTGCTGCTTCATAGTGCCTGGGACCTGCGTTTGATTCCATCCTCAGGTGACTGTGTGGAGTTTACCTGTTCACCCCATGTCTGTGCAGGTCCCCTCCTTGTGCTCAGGTTTCCTCCCACGGTCCAAAGATGTGCCGGTTAGGTGGATTGGCCATGCTAAATTGCCCCATAGTGTGCAGGCTCAATGGATTAGCTATGGTAAATGCAAGGTTATTGGGATAGCGTGGGTCTGGGTGGGTTGCTCTTTGGAGAGTTGGTGCAGACTCAATGGGCTGAATGGCCTCTATCTGCACCGTAGGGGTTCTACAAACTGTCCTGACAGTCCTACATCTGTCTTAAAGCTGCAGCGATACTTGACCACAATTATAGCATAACATATTTTATCATTTAATTCTCCTTGCACAGAGATTTACACATTCAGAAACATAATTTCTTGGGAGGTGATGGCCTAGTGGTATTATCACTGGACTGTTAATCCAGAGACCCAGATAACTTTCTGGGGACTCGGGTTCGAATCCCACCATGGCAGATGCTGGAATTTGAATTCAATAAAATATCTGGAATTAAGAGTCAAATGATGACCATGAATCAATTGTTGGGAAAAATCCATCTGGTTCACCAATGTTGTTTAGGGAAGGAAACTGCCATCCTTACCTGGTCTGGCCTACATGTTACTCCAGACCCATAGCAATGCAGTTGACTCTGAACTGCCCTCTGGGCAACTAGGGATGGTCAATAAATGCCTCATCCCCTTAATGAATAAAAAGAAAGTGCCAAAACAAAAGCCAAGTGACAAAACGATTTCACTGATGTTTTGATAATTAACAAACATTTAACTGCCTGCAGCTCAACTAGGGAATATTTGGTAATATATAATCACTATCAAGTTTCCACATTTCAAATTATCCTCACTTAAAAGACTGAGTGCTAATCTTTAAACTGCATGAGGTATTATTTGAACACTGTCCTTCCATTAAATCCTCAGATTGCTATAGATCGATTGGTCCAAATGGTTCCCATGGTGCTGAGGTATTACCTTCTCCAAGAACTGTCTGCCCAGATAAAGGTAGAGTTGACTCAGTTGTTGTTCCACTGTAAGGATGTGGATGCTCTCCTTCAGGAGAACGATGAAACAGGTGAAAAACGAAGAGATTTGAAGGACAAACTGGATCGGTTGACCCAAGCACGGAATCTTCTGATGAACTATTAATTTTCTCACACTGAACATGGAGAGTGTGAGTGGGACAGTGGAGGGTGAAAATGATATAGGAATGCAGATTAAGTGCCTACACAAATGAGATCTGGTAAGTGGGGTAGATGAGGGGAGATAGGGCTATCTTACTTTCCGAGTCTCAGCTGTTCTGGACGGGAAGCTCTTTTCTCTGTCTCATTGATTGGCTGATAGAGTATTAACCCACCAAAAAGAAAGCAAAAGGAAAATATGATCTTGGTGGTTACCAAGAGTCATATTGACAGTGCCTTGGGTATGACCCATGCACTAGAACGCTCCCATGCCTCCCTCACCACAGAAAATGTTGTGGTACTGGAGGAATACCTGTGAGGGAAAACTGAAGAGAAATACATTGGAGAAAGAGTGGGATCACATGACAAGATAGCATGTTTTATAAAAACTTATATAGAGAGTCATAGAGTCATACAGCATGGAAACAGACCTTCGGTCCAACAAGTACACACCAACCATGTTCCTAAACTAAACTAATCCCATCTGTCTTTGTGTTGCCCATATCCCTCCATCTCTTTCCTATTCATGAAATTATCCAAATGTCTTCTAAACATTGTAACTGTACCTGCATCCATCACTTTCTCTGGCAGTTCATTCCACACACGAACCATTCTCTGTGTAAAAACAGTGCACCTTATGTCCTTTTTAAATCTTTCTCCTCGCCCCTTAAAAATATGCCCCTAGTTTTGAACTCTCCCAGCCTAGGGAAAAGACTCTTGCTATTCACATTATCTGTGACTCTCATCATTTTATAAACCTCAATAAGGTCACCCCTCAACCTCCTACACTACAGTGAAAAAATGTCCCAGTCTTTCCAGTCTATTTTTATATCTCAAACTGTCCGTTCCCAGCATCAGAGATAAGAAAGTGTAGAGCTGGATGAACACAGCAGGCCAAGCAGCATCAGAGGAGCAGGGAGGCTGACGTTT